ACACAGAAAAAAAAAAACCAAGGTGTCTGTGTCCGAAACCTTAACTGTGTCTGTCGGCTCGCTGTCCTGCAGGTCACGGTGAAGACACATCCTTCCTCTGAGGCCCCTCGTGTGCGAGAGCTGCCGGCCCCTGCGATCTCAGAGGCCCGCCTCGGCCTTGAGGCACAGGAAGCAGGTGAACACGAGTGCACCGAGGCAACATGGATCCCTTAGCAAATGATCAAAAGGCCAAATTACCAAATGATTGCCTTCTGGATCTCATTCTTACACTAATCCATCAACAAAATCTATATGAACACACAGCAGACACGCACACATCATTACAGACACTAACAGTGGAATCTTTTAGGTTTCCCTTTTTTGTTGTTCTAATTAATACGCCACGTCTTGGGCACACTCGAGGTAATTAACATTGTTTTTTGCCAGCAACACACAGCAGATGGTGATTGAAAATAGAGGGATGAGTCGCTCAATCAACCACCATTTGTCTGTAGCCATTAATTATCTAGCGAAGAATACGTTCAGTCCCCAAAGTTGATAGTTTGGGGGGGCGGGGGAGAATACTGTCCTTCTGTTCCTCATTACTCTTTAACAGCAGAAACTGCTGAAACTAGAATGTCGGATAGGGAGACTGTGATTTTAATAGCACTGTCATTATCGTCCCCCGTAAGGTGGCATACGATAGAGGGCTTGTGTGTGTGTGTGTTTGGGGGGGGGGGGGTGCTAACAAAGAAGCGTTTCGATAAATGGAAGCAGAGCAACATGTCGTGGGTCATTTTGCTCATGTTTTGGACAAAAATGCAGTTTCATGCAAGATGATGGGTCCAGAAACTGCCACAGGAAATGTTTTCTTATGATCCAACGAGAGCAATCGGGTCACGTGGCCGTCATTACGCCACGGGCCATGTGACCGAAATGATCATCCCCGGTTTGTACATGCGGTCTGATTGGTGCGTCTTCCCCCTGAAGCTACGACAGCCATGATATCATGCCGCTTCTCCCACCAGCTCCAGCAAAGTCTTGTTGCTTTCGCCTCAGCACTCCGGGAGCTCTGACGTCTGCCTGGCAACAGATTAGTGTTGCGCGCATAGCTTTTATGAAATCATCTAAAAATAAGATAGGGGACGGAGAGAAAGAGGGCAAGAGAGACAGAAAGTGGAAAGGAGTTTGAGCAAAGAGAAACCTTGAAGGGACACTGGAGGCAAAAAATAAAAAAAATAAAAAGAACTCAGAGACACCGCAGCATCACTTCTTTTATTTTGTCCTCACCAGCAGCTCCCTATAATCCTCCATCTCTGGCACCACTATAATCTTGTTTTTATTCTGTCTGCCAGCCTCGTAGTCAGAGATAATCAGTGTCACCAAACTTTAATTATTGGATAGAAGAGGAGATAAATGTTGTTCCCTCACTGTCAGTCGTTACTTCATTGATACAGAAGGGAAATTTGTTCTCTTAACACAACGCTGAGAATCTAAAAGTCCTCTTTACAGTGAATTACCGGAAGGATCGCTCATGTTCCACCCCATAGACTTTAATTAACTAGTCTCAGGTAATCTAATCTTATTATCCAAGGCTGCTTCTTTTACCACACCCCGACCTGCTTCCATGATACCAAGACAGGCAGAACCGTCAGGATGACATTTTGCAGGATTTCACTTTCCAGTTTCAAGCCACCAAAAATATGGAAAAACAATTGAAACATTCTTGCCACATTGTTAAAAAAAAAACAAAGACCTGAATGGTCAAGCGGCGTGTTCGGGATTTCAGCTTCATCTGACACAACCGCCACTGCTAGATGCCAAATAAAATACAGAGCTATACACGACTCGGTGTTTGTCCCACAGAGAGCCCAGCCCCATCAAACCCCATTATCTCCAAGGCTACCACTTACTTCTAACTGGAGTGGAGATAGCTGCTTATCTGCTGGTTAATAATAAAAAAGACACACAACAGATAAAAAAAAAGGAAAAAAACAAAACAATCCTATCGTGATAGAAAGAGAGAGGTGAGTGAGAGAGAAAAAAGCCGACAGGGAGCGGGGGGGAGATTTCCAGGGACAGTTTCATTCTGTGGAAAGGGCAAGCAGAAGGAGACCTCCCGCTGTAATGCGGCAGCCATGCCGAAATGAAAGCCAGCCGCTCTCTTCTCCGGGGCTAAACAGCGGCCTTAATAAAAAACACAATCAGACCCCCAACCTTAAAGTTTAATGCACATTCTTCCCATATTTCTCTTTGCGCCAGTGAAAAAAAAAGGGAGTACGGTCGGAGCTCCTGGTGTGATCCCAGCTCTGAGGCGTGTGTGTGTGTGTTAAAGGGAAAAAAGAGGGGGGGGGGGGGGGCTGTTAGAGTCATAATGAAGCCTCACTGAATATCAAGCACGCCATCAACTCACTATAGCTCTCCATTGTGCTAATGAAATTGTTCCCCCCAACTTTTTAATTAACTTGCAGACTCATGGTGTGGAGTCAAGTTGTGGACACAGACAAAGACTAGTGTTCTCTCCCAGGTGATATGAATATCAAAGAGGGGAGGCTGCCCTGAATTAAGCCCAGTTTCTTTATTAGCGGGGGAAACTTCAGAGAGAGACAGATGTGGCGAGGACGGTCTCGTGCCGCTCCTCCTGCGTCCGTCACTCGACACTTTGATACAGATGCTAAGGGGCGACAAATTTATTGTGGGATCCAGATTAACATGGATTATTATCAGAACTTCTTCTTTTTCTCAAAACCCTTCCGAGGATGTCTCCTTGATATCACTGAACGCAAATCATCATGGTTTAACAGCGCCGAGCAAAAGTGGTACAACAGCGCTTGATTAAGGGACAGTCATCACACGGGGAGGAAGATAATAGGGAGGGCACCAACAGAACTTTTTTTTCAAACACATTTCCCTTTATTGGCATGGTGAGGCTGATGAGAATTGCACATAAAAAATAAAATTCACAAGAAAGTCGTACAATAGGTAGAACCACAAAGGCATTGGTAAGGACTTGGCAGAAGGCAACGTGGATAGGACACAAACAGGTAACAACCCACAGCGACTCCCCCGGGACACACACACACACACGCACGCACACACACACACGCACACACACATACACACACACTGGCCGAAAAACACAAACTCAGACGTACATAGATACATTTGCTCATACACATATTGTCCTTCCAAAAGAAACATGATTACTCAACAAAGCAGTGGCAAAGTCCTCAGTAGGTCACATTATTAAAAAGTCCGCCACAGTTGAAATTTGAACCATAAGGTGTTATAATATATTGCTACTCTAGGCAATTTACAAAGCTTTTTTTTATTTTTTTATTACAATGATTAAAGCCACATCTATCAAATGGGACACGACACCATTACCCAAACGCTATACAGACAGCAAAAAAGTAAAACAATGTCTTAAAACACAGGTGAAGGGTTTTCTGTTTTCATATCCTTCCTCCTTTGACCAATTTTTTCCTCGTTGCATCATAAAAATTAGCTGCTTCTTGTCTCCACAGTCAAATCCCATGAAAGGAAGCCTGTGATCAGCAGAAGCTTTCATACAAGTTTTTTTTTTGGCCTTCCTGTGATGGAAGCCGCTTCTGTCGTTACTTGGCGCGCTCAAAACGGGATATTAATTGAACCAGAAGCCGCAAGGTTACCTTTTATGTCATGTCGACAGCGATGTGATATCTGGACTGTGAGTGTGGGGCGGGCGGTGGTGGTGGGAAGTGGAAAAGTCGCGCGGCATGCGATACGTCGTTGAGTAGTTTTCCCTAGGCTTATAGAATGTCATTTAAAATCTGCCAGTTAAGACAGCTGAGAGGCAGATACCCAAAGTGGCGTGTACGCTGCGGCACCGACCGTCCTCCTGTAATAGCCATGCACTACACAACAAACAGTTTCAACTCCACACGTTTTTAGTTTTTTTTTGTCACACACACAGCGGAGAGTTAAGAGTCGGTCACGTTTGCACAGGTGTCACAAGGTAATGCGTGCATTACAATCACATAGACTCAGCTACATCTTAAAGGGGAGAGCGAGGGGGAGGTGGTGGTCGGAGGGGCGGGGACATTCAAGTGTTTACCGCACACAGAGAGGTCACGTTGACGAAATGGCGAGATACGGGAATGGAGTTGTCCTATAGCTACCAGCGACTGGGTAATGGGTCACGTCCAAAAATCACACAACAATAGGAGGTAAAATACAACTCTGAAAAATAAATTATTGCTTTTTATATA